AAAATGAAGTCACTGCTTTGCCGGAAAGGCGAAGCAATGAACGCGATAGCCACAAATTGAAAGGTCACGCGCAAAATGGAAAGCAGATCGAAACATGCCCCGTGTTTCTCACGCACAAATGACCCACAAAACGTACTCACAGGCACGGATGCACGTGAATAAGGGTCTCATTTATTACTTCGCTGAGTCTGAAAAGCGCACGCTTTTCGTAAACGGAGACTGCTATGATTGAAGTGACCTTTGTGTACCCGGTAACTATAGCAGAATCGTTCCAGGTAAAGCCCGAGGACAGCCAAGCCGTACGACCTTCCCTTCCTCTCCGCCGCGAGATAAGGGCGCGTGAGGGAGGGTTGCTACCCTTCTCTAAGCCGGGCAAAGTACACGTTGAGATTAGAGCGTGTGCCGCCTTGCGATGTGGCGAAGCGCGCTCATTGCGCCATCTTGCTGGTAATGCTGAAAACACCCCCCCCCCCCCCCCGAGATGCTCGTGGGCAGCGGTAAGTGGTAGATATAAGTGGCTTGCCGTTTGGGCGGCGTAGGACAAGCTGCGGAATGGCTCAGTGGTTAAAGCCTCGCTTTTACTACTCAGAGGTTCCACGCTCGATTCCGCGCGCCATAGTTCTTTCTAGATTCATTTTCTTTCTTGCGCTTTCATATATATATATAAATACGTATACATATACGGTGCATGACATCGACGCCGACGCCGGCGGCAAAATCCAGCCGAGAGTGTGCATATAATTGCTATCGCAATAAAAAGTTTCGTGGCTCTTACTGTATATCTTGAAGCAGGCTTAGCTCTTCAAGTATTTAAGGCACATGACAAAGGTAGACAAATGCCGAAGGAAGGAATGGCACAGGGAAAACGCGAGCACAAATGCGTGGTCATCTAAAAGTTCGCTGACGCGCTCCGAACATGGTCGAATACAACAAGACAGCATGAGTCTGCAGAGCACCTTAATCAAACTTGTACACATGAACATCCACTAACTAGCCGAACTCAACATCTTTTGTCAAGTTCACGGCTGTATGGAAAAAAAAAAAGAACGCCAGGCCTGCGCGGAAGGCGCAGCACAGTACAGCGAAAACTAGAAGAGCACCCTTTCAGAGCCTTTTCAGAACACTCATTGGTTAATTACTACAAGCACACTTGCTTGGTACCCACTAGGGCATTAATAATAAGCTGTTGGGTAGTAGGCCGGCATTCGCCATGCTATCTTGCGTCATTCTTCTGAGAAGCGTGATATCCGCTAAACGCTTGCAAGGAATCTCGTGCCAATTGAGCCCGCAGTGTCTGACGACGATGGGCAATTATGCCTGAAGTAGGTATGCGCGACAGTGACTACGGGATTAAGAACAAGCTTTTTTTTGTAATGGGTTGGAGCATAGGGCGACCCATTCGTTACGCTGTTCGCATTGTCCGACGCCTGGTTGTTCTTTCGTTGTTACAAAACGCTTTATTACTCATATTAACGTGATTCCTTTCCCGACATCAAGCCTGCCTAAGGCAAGTTGGTGAGTGGTTCAGTGGCCGGCGTGGTTCAGTGGTAGAATACTGGGCTGGCACGCAACAGACCCGGGTTCATTTCGTGTGAAGTGGTGACGTACACCGACGGCAGCGGTGGCGGACAACTACGGCGCCACGTGTGACCGGAGTTGTGATCTCATAACAGCTCTTGCTGTAAAAAGCGTAGTCGTGCCTTGTTGCTGCTCGCTTTCCACCTGCACAACGGTAGAGTGGCACGCACAGAACAGAAACCATTTAAAATGATAGCTATAAAAAAATAACTATAAAAAAGGCAGCTTAACAAAAAATAAGTAAACAGATGAAAATAAAGAGAGTAACAAGCACAGCAAATTAAAGTTTGGTAGGAGCAGCTGAAATTGATGAGGAAATAAATAGAGAGGCTGACTGGATATGGTATTAGAGATTCGTGAGATGGCTAAGTATCAAACTTGTTTATTCAAAAGGCTTCTTAAAATGCCCGAGACAATAATAAACATGGCAGGCTGAACGGTCAGGTTTCAATTATAATGAGAAGCACAAACAAATACAGAAAAACGGGACACTGCAGATGCGATTTAATGATAAACGGGAAGAGAGACAACTAAATTATATGGATTCCGCAGTTTGGGAGAAGTCCAGAGATCTCAAGTTTTTGTGAATCTAGCCGGCGGCTTTCACGAAAATGCGCTAAGGCAATAATTGGGACTGAAAGCAGAATGCGAAGTGATTACTTTATTGAAAAAAAAAACTACCACAGAAAGAACGGGAGCCATCAGAAACGACTGACGAAGAACCTAAAGGACACAAGCGACTTGAAAACGACTTTAGGGATAAAGAAAAGGCGGAAAGGTCACACTTTTTTTTTTTCAAATACGGCCGAACTGACTAGGATTCACGGTAGAAGGTGAATGCATTACGTGAAGATGTTCCTTTTCACACACAAATATTTGAAGTAGACAAAGAAAATCGGTGAAGAAGATGGATTGGGAAACAAAGAGGGAAGCTAATTGAATGTCACTTTGGGAAGCGTAGAAAAGGGTCAAAGGATAGCACTTTCTTCAGGGACCAAGTCAGCAAGGTGGACTGAAATATGTAGGGAGAGGGGGGGGGGGGGAGCTTCACATTGTTCTTGAGTGCTTATTGATGGGCGGGACGGACGAGCGTCAAAAAGAGCTGAAAAATAATGAAAAAAAAAAGAAGGCAGTAGGAAGAAAGGAAGAAGAGGGAATCAATGAGGTTGTGGGGCTCATCTTTTGTTGAACTGACAACTTCGTATAGCGTCAACGACTCGTTTGCTTCTGGGGACTATTGCCGAGGAGAGTTTCAGTTCCACAAATGAGACAGAGTGATGGCGCCATTTCTTGTCAATTAGGACAGCCGCAGGTTATTCGCACCGTTGTCGAAACGGAGCGACAGCGATTGCGACAACGGTTGATGGATGCGGTTTCTGTTTTCACTCTGTTAGTAGAAGGAACGCGCTCTCTTGGGCTGGTTCGTTCATTCTCCGAGGAGTTGAAGAGCGCAATTTAGAATCCAGGCAGCGAAGAATTCAAAAGACTGCAGTGCTCTGAATGTCAACTTTTGACCTGCCTGTACTGGCTGCGCAACTGCGCAATATCTCAGTTTCCCTTGTGTATGTTCTAACGTTATCACATCGGAAAAACAGGTATTGAAAAGTTTCTATATAGGCATGATTCTTGGTCAATTCCCTATATTGATGCGAACCGCATAGTAAATCATAACATCGTCATCACGATCTATAGCTCTGCAAGTCTACTCCACTTGTACAGTGAATACCCTGGTAAATGTCTCTCTCGGGTTATGGAAAGGGGACAGGAGTGTGTCTGTGCTGTAAATATAAAGCAGTACCGTCCGCATTTATTTGGTCGCGTTTATGTATAACCGCGGCGCATCACCGGTCGTTTACAAGGGCCTGTGAGAGATGGGAACTGATTGTGTGAGGGTATACGGTCACATGCATGGGCGGCGATATGTGTACAACATTTTGTTCTTAATAATTTTTCTTTCAAGTCCGACTTCACTTTCTTTCAAGTATTTATTGACCCAGCTTTTGGACCACATTTGCAAATTGCCAATAGAAAGATCATTACATTTCAGCACTTTCATGATTTTTAATTTCAATGTAGTGAGCGGTCACGGGCGACGCGCAAATATCAATTCCATCACGCCGCTGCAACCAATCCGCGAGCCCCATTCCAAGCGGGACACCTTTCGAGAAGAGTTATATCGACACGAGTCCCCAGCCTAAGGTCGGCCGCGCTTCGACGAAACCCGTGCGTCCTTTATCGAAGCACGCTTACAGAGAACAGCTGTGGCCGTGTCTACCTACAGAGCATGATAAACAGTCCCGCGTCACTCGGCCAACAGACGCGCACAGGGAGCTAGGTTGAATCAACATATACTAAATCATCGTGATTGCCCCGAATGCTTCGCGTGTGTTTTGACACAGCTCGCACTTGAATGCGATAAGCGAATGCGTTTGATAAATGAATGGCCAAGCTTACTCGCATGCTTGTGCCCACAACTCCGTGACACGATATATTTGGTAAACAACACGAAGGGTTTCACAGGGAGAGGTATCGTGTAAAGTGGCGCGCAAATGGGCATGCGATATTTACGGGAGTTAATCCAAGTACACCACATTGATGTAACTTGTCATCAACCATCAATTTTAAACGAGTGGGTTTACAAGAAGTGTTTCACTATATCGAGTCCTTTGTACTCAATTATGGTATAGCAGTGAGCCGTACCTTAAACAAAACAAAAAGAAACGATGCAGCAATGATTGCAGGAAGTCTTCTATAAGTGACATATTCTGGGTGCTCCATCACACGCAAAAAAAAAAATCCGATGGGCTTTTAGATATGTATAGCCAACAAAGGTGCGCCGTTTACTCGCGTAATTGTATGGACCGTTTTGCAACAAATGGTGGTCTGTTAATGACGGTCTTGTCGGTGATGAGCGGTTTCTGGTAGGGCAAACCATTTTCTTTAATGGCGTGATTTGGGATTCCATGGTGCAACAATTCAACGTTATCTGGATAGCAACGCACGAGCATCGTTGTTGTCTATAACAACAAACGTGTCGCGCTTCTCAGAACGTGCATGAGATGTGCGACTGCCGGTACCGAGAAAACAAAATGTTACGATAGAGAATTGCGTAATGATAAAGACGGAAAGGAGAGGAAGAAAGGTATCGCGTCAAGCACCCGCACGCCTCGCTTGGCAAGGCGTTTCACTGATAGCACAAGGGTTCCCGAAATGTTTTCAAGAAGTACGTCAGCTGTATAAAAAAAAGCGCCATTCACAAAAGCAAATGTATGTGTGCAGGCATTTACTGTTTACAGCATTTCATTCATTTACGCGATATTGATGATATTGATGACTAACCAATTTTTATGGAGTGTACCCCTTAAGGGTATCCACAAACTCATCACCAATGGTCTTCCTTTCTTGCTTTCTCCCTCACGCAGTTCCACACAGGAGAGTACGAGGTGAACGGTGCCTCGCTGACCTTGGACATCGTGGACACGAGCGGCAGCTACCCGTTTCCAGCCATGAGGCGGCTGGCCATCACCACGGCAGACGCGTTCGTGCTCGTCTACGCAATAGACGACCCGGAGTCGTTCGAGGAGGCCCGGCGCATTCACGACCAGATCGTGGAGCTCCGCTCGGCCAAGGCGCCCGTAGTCGTGGTGGGCAACAAGTGCGACCTGCCGGCCGCCATGCGCCGCGTTCGACGTGAAGTGGCCGAGACCATCATCTCCATCGACTGGGAGCACGGGTTCGTCGAGTCCTCGGCCAAGGAGAACGTCAACGTGCTGGGAATCTTCAGGGAACTCCTGGTGCAGGCCAAGATCCCGTACGACCTGAACCCGGCCGTGGTGAACAAGAGACGTCGCTCGCTGCCTGTATACCCGACCAGTCCGACCATGAAGGACAAGACGCTGCTCAAGAGGAACAGTTGTGCAGTGTCATAGCTGCATGGAAGTCCTCACTAGTGTTTTTTTTATTTTCTTAAGATGAACTCGTCATTCCGACTCGAGTACAGTGCCAGTGACTGTGAAAGTGTCGTCCTTAGTGTTGAGAAACTTGACAACTCATCGCAAAAAGTTAAGGAGCCCGCTTCCCTTCCTTGCGGGATCGTGATGAACACTTTTCGGCTGTAAGCAAATACCGACGGACTACTTCACGCCTACAGGTGACAACGAACCACGTGTCAAGAGTACGCCCGAGTGAAACCTTGAGCAGCATGGCCGCCAGTCCGAGCTAAGCTGGTGCAATTTTCAGCTCGAATTTTGTCCCATAAGTTCAATGCAATAACTATTCAATTTCGTCATTGAAGAACGGTGTGGTGATGTGAACATTCCGCTAATAAAACCATCACTGTTGGTGCAAAACTTGAGCCTATGGAAATCGCCGCCAGCAGGGGTTCAACCTGGCGTGGCAGAACCAAGCACAAGCTCCCCACCCCCAACCACCCTCGAAGTTTTTGCCATTAGGCACAGAGCTCGATAGGACATGGCCTCAGCTGCAGGCCTGGTGCTCTCTTCAGATCAAGAACGGCACTTCGCGGAAGTGCATTGCGCGCGACGCTGCAGCTACAGGCTTAACTTGCGATGAAACCTGGTCTTCTCACAGTGACCACTGATGCATGATCACTGACGCTGGTACCATGCCACTATGTCTGGACGAGCTTGAGGTCATGATCAGATATATCATTGACACCGATGCAAAACCAAAACTATAGAGTGGATTGTATTACCCACCGTTGAAAGCTTTACAGTCCACAATGTCAGACAAAACGTGGTGCTGATCACGGTGATTTGGAGGCCTAATCGCACGAAAAAAGAATCGAACTTCGTTCGGAAAAACATCACTGCGATGAACTTCGACTCCATGTCGCCAAGGTTCTTGGGATCGTCCACGTTGAAAACAAGAAAAAGTCACCGCTAGCAAAGAGCAAGCACCCTGTTATCAGCATGAGACAACAGATAGAGCTACGACTCTGGCGATACCCTGAGCCACAAGGTCGACCAATTACAGCTCTACTAAACAACCACTACAGCGGAGACCCCGTTTCTTCACGTGAAAAAGAGATTATATTAACCCAGAACAGCAGTAACAATGCGCATGCGCTGGGGACTACGTGCTGTGCAGATGTGACTTGTGTGAGAACAGTTTGACGCGTGACCACTCTTGTCGAGCTCCTGCTTTTTAACGATAACGTTTACAACTCACCGTAATGAAGTTCCACTTATCAGACATTGCGCATTCGGCCGGAACATTCGGATGTTCTGCGTACGAGTCGTTTCACGCAGAAGTGAAAGAAATCACACAGTCCTTTCTCCACTCGTCTAAAACAATTCCAAAACGAAGGCTGTCTTCTCTTTCTTCTCGCCATTGATCATTCACTCGCCCCTCAGGAAGCGTTGAGCACCTCACGTATTCTTGCACTGTCACCAGAATCGGAGAGGTTGCAAGCTTTCTGTACCTCACGAGGTTTGGCACTGCCTATGATCAGCGTATACCTCCCAACAAGTGATGCTGTCATGTGATGACGTTATGATGACGTCACGTAATTGCATGACTCCACATTTTGACGTCGTCGCACTCCTCTCTCAAATGTTGACGCTGTGCGACATTTTGATGACGTGATTATGTGGCATTTTCGCTCAAACAAGGTAACGTCGGTTCTTGGAAACTACGTTTGTCTATTGTGACAAACGTCCTGCCAAACACCACCCAAGTATGGCGTATTGTGTCACCGACGTAGCCCTTTAAAGCTTTCACACTCGCAAAATACGCATGGTTGTTTCAGAATTCAATTAGAACATTTTTAATGGTCATACAGCACCTGCCTGTGTCACTGACACCCGTATCGACGGTGAAACACACGACTTAGCCTGGAACAGGGAACGAGACGCTAATACAGCGTTACAGCTTGTGTGCAAAGCAAGTGTAAGGTTGAGAACACCACCCTTTTCAACTTACAGACGACGTAACAAAATAGCGTTGCGAGGGCAATTGGTTCTGGTGCACAAATAGGAGTACGTAGCTTAGTGCAGGAATTCGTTACGAGTATTTGCCTAAAAGAGACAACCGAATGCTGGTATTCATGAAGGGTACGTGTCATTCACGCATGGCGAAAATCGCTGAAAATTGCCAAACCACACCTACTTTTTTTTCTTTTCAATAGCAAGCGTGTTTGTATTGTCCTCAACACATTTAGAACCTCTCTTACCTCGTAAGGCAAATAGAGCCGCCTTTCCTGTCCTTAAGAAAGCAATTCTTGTGCTTTTCCTCCGTAGAATATACTGTACCTCTAAACATTTTCCTACAAGATATAATGGTGTATTCTTTCCTTGTACTTGAAATTAGGCATCGAGCGAATTCTCAGCCTCATGTAACCGTGACATTTGCGCTGAACGTCTATAGCCAACCCCCCCCCCCCCCCCCAATCAATGAACTACCATAACCTTTACGACCGACAGCGCCACGTTTTTATACCACATATTTCACTACCTTCGTTTCGTTTCTGCGTTGTCATGCCTTACATTGCCGCATCTAAATTGCTTGTCGTGTGTATACTGAGCGCCGAGTGAAATCATTTATTACTGTGAACACCCACGCCAAGATTGCAAGCGCCAAGCCGCGCGCCCGCAATCCCGGAGGCCATGACTCAACAAGCATTCATCTAATCAATTTCTAGATAAAGGCAAGCCAGCTCACGAGCTATGAAAATAGTTGTGCTCACGAATCAAAATGAGTAAATAAACATCGGAGCGCAGCGCCTCTCCTATCATCATCCAATCACGCTTGTCGAGGTTGGAAAAGAATGCTGTGACGGAGTAATCAGTCATGCTGAGCGATCGGGAGAGCTATACGCTCCACAGTTTTATAATGATATATTAGAGGGAAATTTGCCACTAGTGGAAGCTGCGATGCGCCGCGCTTCAGCCAGCGTGGGAATGATCGCAAGTAGAAAGCTTTGTCTATGCGTCGTTCTTTAGGCTTCGTCTGATATGGAGCCGCTTTGGGTCAAGACAGAGTTCAGCAGTTCCACCACTCCGCCTTAACCTTTTTAGGCTCACTGATCAGAATTGGTTGCACAAGTTCGCAATGATCCGTAATTTAAGCCGAAGCAAACAGCAAAACACAATAAATCAAGCCACAAATACGTTTGAAGCAGCTAGAATGAAGGTTACCGTGTGCTACTTATCATTTTCATGCTGAGCGAACGATCGCAGCGCCAGAGTTCCCTCCAATATTGTATCATACACTCTATGCGTTACACGACAGATATCCATCCAATTTGACTAACTCACTGCCGACGGCTCACTCGTCACAATTATTTTTTTGCGGTGAACCCGCATTGCAGCGTCACTTGATGACGCCTTTCTTGCGAAAATTTCTTGAGGTTTCAAGCAAAACAATGACAACGCTTTTCACAAGGTGCCTACACGAAGTGTTTCTTCATTTAATTTCAATTAGCATTTTTCCGTCGTCTTTGCTCTCAAGCCGCACTTAAACTCGAACCACGCCCTTAATTATAAGGTGGTAGATGACGTTACGGCAAAAATTGTCTTTTGGGAACTAAATAGTAATCTCTCATTACCGACCCTGCTTCTTGGACAAAAAAATGTAACAATCTGGTATATATTCTGTTGTGCATGTAATCAGAGGTTCGAGCATTATTTTGGATTTTGCATTGTTGTATATACTAACCTAAGTCTCCTCGGCCGCTGGGATTTGAACCATGCGCGCAGCTTGATGGTAATGAAATCAGTACTCTGCCCATTTCACTCACACTGGTGCGTGCATGGCTATTATATAGGTAGAACGAAAATTTGCGTGCATCTCTCATAGCTTGCCATTATTCAAAGCGCAGTTCGAAAAAAAGAAATCGCCTCTATTGGCATGCGAAATGTGATTGATTGAATTCTGCGTATTATCACAAAGCTCGCTACAGCAAAGTTTAGCGGGATGCAAACTGACGAGGTTACAACCATTACTTCAGTCCTCTTATAGGGTGCCTTATTCGGTGACTCAAACATGTCCATGCCCCGCCGTGGTGGTCTAGTGGCTAAGGTACTCGGCTGCTGACCCGCAGGTCGCGGGTTCGAATCCCGGCTGCGGCGGCTGCATTTCCGATGGAGGCGGAAATGTTGTAGGCCCGTGTGCTCAGATTGGGGTGCACGTTAAAGAACCCCAGGTGGTCTAAATTTCCGGAGCCCTCCACTACGGCGTCTCTCATAATCATATGGTGGTTTTGGGACGTTAAACCCCACATATCAATCAATCAAACATGTCCATGCCGATTTGCCATTCCGCGTGTTCTACTGACTGAAAGGGCAGCTTCTGCTATAGTTAATTCAAGGTCTGATGCAAATGCCACTCTAGAAAATTAATATATATATATATATATATATATATATATATATATATATATATATATATATATATATATATATATATATATATATTCGTACAGCTTTTTTGTTGAACTAATGTCCTTAGCGTGGTGCCATGTTACATTTTTGTAACATTCAGCCGAATTCAGTTTAATGGAGCTGGGCAGTGGTTGAGCTGTAGGTGCGACTGAAGAGCAAGTGTGCAATCAAATAAAATTTGTATGCCTTGTTCAGAAATGTTACGTTAATTCATGTAGTGGTGATTAAGTGTGTTGTGATGTCTGCAAATTCGCAAACAAAACCACGTAATGTGATCTATGTGCTTGTGAAGGCGAAATAATCGCCTCCTTGTCGAGCTTTCAATGTGATTTTTTTTTTATTTCTTGAACTTTGTTGCGTTCGTTATGCAACTGTTTGATGTTCATGTCTACAATGGATGTGCCTGTTTGTCTGTTATTTCTTTTGAAGAAGCAATCGCTATCCTAATTCTCTTCAGCAGGCCACGACACTAGGGACGGCGCTAGGATTTTTTTAGTGTGAGTGGGGAGGGGGGGGGGGCACACTCTCGCAAGCTAGTTATTTGATAGGGAGGTGCATCCAACAATGAGTTGCGTTGGTCTGACGCTATGCTCGTTGAAGGAAGATCGGTAGAAGGTGGGCAGGCGAAAAACTTTTAGCAGGGGTGGCCACGCCCACCTAACTTTATGCCGTCCCTTGTTGCACTGGCATTCTGCACGCGAGTTGTTGCACCACACGGTTGCTTCAGCAATGCTTAAAAAAAAAACAAGAGCCTGCTTTTTGTCATGAGCCGGTATGCATGCTAATGCATTTGACCACAAACATCAGAGCTAGCGGAAAGCTGCATTAGTTGTGCACAGTATGCTTTTTTTATTAGACGAATTTATGGACCCATCGTGATGTTTTCGTTATCAAAGGCAAAGTTTGCCAAAACAAATTTTCGAACTACTAAGATGATAGATAGCCGAATGATTCCCTGATTCATCGGCAACCTACCCAGTCAAATTACGATATTATACAGCCAACTGAGATGGGCAGCTAAATGATATCGAAAAAAGCGTGACGTAAAAATTTCGAAGTGTGGTCCTACCGAATAGCGTTTATATGTCGGCTGACATCATTTTATAAATCCAGTTAACAAAGGCCAAATAGGAATGCTAAAAGTGGGTGTTTCTTTTGTTTTTCAATGGTGCTTGCGTCTATAGACAGGGTGTTCTATGAGGAGCTAAGTTTAACATGAACTTAGTGAACCGGAAAAGCGGCGTTGGCTCGAATGTAGTACAAATTTACCAAAAAGTAGAAATTTGCATAAAAAGAAGTAACGGTTCAAGATAACAGCTACTTAGAATGTAAGGCTTTAAATTACGAGAATATTATCAGTCAGTTTACTTTATTATTGAGCAAGTTGACTATCAAAGCTAATTTTCTAGAGGACCTCGAGGATCACTGCGGCATCTGACAGCAGATCGCGACGATGCCTCTACAAGGCCACCGTGATTAGCTAGGGCGGCACGACAGGCACATAGGAAAAACTTGTGAGTGGTCAACGATTCGCGGATGCATAAATCATTCGAATACGTTTATTGAAAAAGCAGGCTCCTTCCTTCTTCATTAAATAGGTTGTGACGTTGCAGTGAAGCACACTTGTGGAGAAATGTTCGACCGTAACGTAGTAGGCTATGTCGTACTCGATGGGTAGATATCGTCGCTCTCAATGTGTATGACGCCTCAGTTAAACTCTTATTTCTGCTTACTTTGACTACGAGTCGCGTCGATGCAAATGAATACTGTTTTTATGTTGTAAAAAAACGTAGGCTAGACCTGTTTCAGTGTGAGCACTACGTCTGTGATTATGTGTGACTTCAAACGTGATTATTTTGACGTGCTTTGACGAGCTTGCATCGACGTTTCTTTTGGCTGTCGTGAAGTCGCAGTGTTGGTTTTGTGCTCTTGTGTCGTTCTCAATGGACTCTGGTGGTTTATATTGTGCATCGCTTCTGTGACAATAATCCCCGACGTCGACTACATTTGAGAAAGATGAAACAAACGTTGCTTCCACTGTGTAAATAAAGGCTGTTCGAACTCAGTCACACGTGTCCGTCTCCTTTTAGCAGTCACGTATGTTGACAACCGAAACCGAAAGTACAGAAGTACTCAGGACGAAGATCCACGGAAGCCTACCTGAGAAATACGTAGGTTGTGATCAAGAAGCATCTTTGTTTACATCCTCCTTGGTTGTGACCAGCTACACTTCAACAACAAAAAAAGTTTGTTTGACTCTATTCGCGTAGCCCTGAATAGCAACATATATCGTTCTTTTTAAAGAGGCACCATAACTCTCTTTTGGATCGCATGACTCTTAGGAGAGAGTATTGTACCGCCAAAGGGAGTTTTATTTATTTAGTTTGTACTGCAGTCCGTACACCAAGCAGGAGGGGCACAAAAAGGGAGCACAGCGAAAACAATGTTAACAAGTTATAGATCAAGTTAGAATAAACATTGCAATTGAAAAGAAAAACAAGCTCATACTGACTAGAACGTAAACATAGATTTCAAGAAATAGTGCGCACCTTTAGAAACACTCTCAAGCACCCAAGTGGCAGCAACATCACTGAAATCATGTGACATAATCTAGCATGACACTATAAATATAGTGTAGACATGCCTCTTTAACGAGAGTCTTATAGAGGGCAAGAAGAAAAAAAACATGGTGCAAGAATACTTTAGGTGAGCGAACGCCGAAACTATCCGGTGCCCGATAATGTTCTGCTTCGTAATGAGCCCGAGAGATGGCGCCAAAAGCTTTTCCCCAGCTCCCCTCCTCCCTCTTAATGTTGCAAAGCACCGTACGTGGGAAAGTAGCGGCGCTCATTCATCGTCACCACAACGCTCTCGCCGCTCTGTCAACCTCCTTCCTTATCACCCCCTTTTTCACGGCGT